GGGGGGGGGACGGGGAGAGGGGGGAGGGTTTGTCTGGAGTGTAAGCCCCCCCCCCACTGCTCACTGCCGGGCAGGGTCAGGGCAACCCTCCCCCCTCCCCAACCAGGAACTTTCTGAGCAAGAACAAATGCCGTAGTGCCAGGCAGAACACGTACAGCCCCAGGGCCCTGTGCCCTCCCCACGCCCAACCCAGCAAGGGGCCTGTGATGCACAGAGCCAGACCCCCAAGGGGGAGGGAGGCATCCTGGCCAGGGGCTGGGACAAAGCCATTGGAGTGGTTGCGCGTGGGCTGGATCGCACCTGAGCCCATCCGCAGCGCAGGCAGGGCAGCCCAAGCCCAGCTGAGCCTGGCGCCGTTGGCAGCGCTGGGGGCTCTGTGCACAGTGGGGGAGGCTGGTGCCCGAGGCTGAACGGCTCCCACTGAGCCAGGGGAGCGCAGGTGGCACTTGGAGGCCGGGCCAGCAGGCTGTGACCAGCCCTGGGGAGGAGCTGGGAGCCCGACACATCACAGTGGCCACCAGGGTCCTGCAGGGGCCACGCCTGCCCTGGTGCCCAGGGAACGAGCTGGCACACCTGGGCTCTCGTGCCTGTGCTGTCGGCACCCTTTGCAAGGCACAGGCCCGTTGCCAGGTACGCAGCCCGCCCCAGGCAGGCTGGCATGGGGGGGAGGGCGAGCTCAGCACCCCCCTTTGCCCCAGCAGCAAGAGTTTGAGCCTGCCTTGAACCAGCCAAAGACCCAGGGACCCTGGACGTGGAGCCAGGGACATAATTAGCAGGCAGGGGGAGGGGACGCACCTGTGAGCCAGTAGCTAAAGAAGACCCTGGAGCTGGGGCACAGCACAAAGACGCCCAGGGATTCCCCCCCATCCCCAGCATCCCCCCCTTGGTCTCACCTGCTGGAGTCCGGTGGTGTCAGTGCAGGGAAGCAATCAGGCGTCACCTCTGGGGAGATCGTCAGCTGTCTCGCCGGGTGCCAAGACCCTGCCTTTTAAAGGTGGGGGAAGGGCTAAGCTCCACCCTCCGGGGTAGAAGCCCCGCCCTCACCCTCCCCAGCCCCGCCCCTGCTGGCTGTGTGCACCGCCAGCCATGTGCTGTGAGGCCGGGCAGGGGAGTCATTCAGCGCCACGTGGCCGTCATGGCCAGGCTCCCACGGGCGCGACTGGGTGTAGG